AACCCAGGGAGAAGCTGGACCTAATGCAGCACTGGGTCCCTCAGGACGTCGTATCCCGGCTGGAGGAAGAAATAAGAAAGCTCCAGGCCACGGTGCAGGAGCTACAGAAGCGCCTGGATAGACTGGAGGAGACCGTCCAGGCCAAGTAGAGGCCCCAGGACCTTCAGTGGGGCCAGCCATTCACAACCTTCCATTCAGTCCCCACTCCTCAGGCCACATGGCAGATAAGAAAAAAATAATAAAATGGCTTTATTTTCTGGTACCTCTCAGACTCTGATGACTGGTCATCTGGATGATGGGTCTGGTGAACTCACTAGCCCTTGCGCTTCCCCACAGTAGCCCTGATAAGACTGTCCCATGGTGGGGCTTAGGAAGTACCTCCAGATGCCCTACAACACACGACCTTGGTGGGTGAGAACTACCCATGCTGATGTGCTTCTGAGCCTGTTCTCCATTTCTCAGCTCCTCAGGGCTGGCAGGTCTGAGCTATTCAAAGCCCTATCCGAATAGCCCTAACCTAAGGCCTCAAAAATTTCCATATTCGGCTGGGGGACGGTGGCTCATGGCTGTAATCCTAGCTTTCTGGGAGGCTGAGGCAGGTGGGTTGTTTGAGCTCAGGAGTTTGAGACCAGCCTGAGCAAGAGCAAGACCCCATCTCTACTAAAAAAAACAAAGAAATTGGCTGGACAACTAAAAATATGTAGAAAAAAAATTAGCCGGGCATGGCGGCGCATGCCTATAGTCCCAGCTACTTGGGAGGCTGAGGCAGGAGGATCACTTAAGCCCAGGAGTTTGAGGTTGCTGTGAGCTAGGCTGATGCCACGGCACTCTAGCCAGGACAACAGAGTGAGACTCTGTTTTAAAAAAAAATAATTTCATATTCATCCCAAATCTGCCTTTCCTAGTGAACCAAGACATCTGGCTGCATGCAGTTGTACTGGCACTGTTGCTTGTGGGGAACTGAACCGACTAGCACTTGGGTGGTAGATGTGTTTTAAATTGCAGGCCCAAAGAATAAAAATAACATGGAAATCTTCTCTAAGGAAAAAGCTTAGAAGCAAAACAACAGCCTGACCCTAGTTTACAGGTAAGGAAACTGAGGCACAGAGTGAGACCAGCTGGCTGAAGGGAGATCCCGAGCCATAGCCTAAGTCTCCCCCTTCAAGTTCAGGGCCTTCCCCTGTGCAGAGCTGCCTCTTGAGTCCTTATTGTGGGTCCTCCCTGGGCCTGGTCTCTGTGCGAGGGACCTGGAAGGAATAGATCTGTCAGGCTCTGTAGAGCGGGACTTGGGAGTAGGTTCTGATGACCAACTTAGTGGGTGATCTCCTGAGCTAGGAGGACACAGGACTGTTTGGGATGGGTGTCTTGGCCATAGCGGGACTTGGTACATACCATGCAGGGGCTACCAAAGGCCCCATTCCCAGATGCATGTGGCAGATGGACAAATGTCCCTATCTGCCCACTTGGGTTTCACCCTTTATGCAAGCTATGTGACCCTGGGCAAGTCACTTCTCTCCAGGCCTCAGCTGTCATCTATAAAATGGGGGAGGGATATCGTCACAGCCTGGTAAATACGGTAGGTGGATCCAATCAAGAGTGCGGTCTGGGCTGCTTTTGTTTTTCTTTTTGAGACAGAGTTTCACTCTGTTGCCCAGGCTAGAGTGCTGTGGCGTCATCCTCGCTCACAGCAACCTCAAACTCCTGGGCTCAAGTGATCCTCCTGCCTCAGCCTCCCAAGTAGCTGGGACTACAGGCATATGCCACCATGCCTGGCTAATTTTTTTCTATTATTTTTTTTTAGTGGAGCTGGGGTCTCGCTCTTGCTCAGGCTGGTCTCAAATTCCTGAGCTCAAACAATCCCCTCGCCTCAGCCTCCCAGAGAGCTAGGGTTACAGGGGTGAGCCACCATGCCCAGCCTGGGCTTCTTAAAGAGGTGATGATCCTGCTCTGAGCCTCTCCCGAACGATGAGGACGATGGGCCCTTCTGGGGTCTGCATAAGTAGACTCAGTCACTAGTTCTCCTCCTGGCCCAATACTAAAAAAAAATTCAGGAAATGATCCCTGGAGCCCAGAATGGTCAACCAATCGTGACCATGACTCTCAGCTTTACTGGCCCATTCTCTCTCTGGTGGGAATAAGGGAGGTAGGGGTCGGAGGTAATTTAGGGACTGAGAAACTGGTCTTGAAAACACAGGGGAACAGAGTGGGTGATGGCTGAAACTTGCATTTTCTCAGTCCCAAAGAGCTCTGGCCCCAATTGGGTCACTACTTGCTGTCCCTCCTGGGTTTCAGTGACCTCTGTGCAAGGTCCTACCAACCCTAACAACCTGTGGTTACGACTGACACAGGAGTATCACCTAACCTACCCCAACTTTGTGACTCAGGTCAGCCTTCTTTTTCTGCTCTAATCCCATCCCTATCCCCTCTCCACAGCCCCAATTCCTGAAAACCTCATGGTCTTCCCAGGGGCAGCTGTGGCCACATCAAGCCCAAAGCTATGAGGCCACTAGACCTTCTCTAGTAGGCCAGAAAACATCAGATTCCAGGTGTTGAGGCGCTCCTACCTGGGTATCACTTCCCCTGAGGCCTGCAAAGGGCTGGGGGAACCTGCAGGGGATGTGTGGAATCCTGTATCATGCTTTTGACATTAGGAGAGTGCTGGGGAGAGGGAGAGGCTTGTTCAAGTGTCCAGGGCCTGAAACCCTGAGCACTTTCTCATCTCTGAATCTTTCTTTCTTTCTTTTTTTTTTTTTTTTTGAGACAGAGTCTTGCTTTGTTGTTCAGGCTAGAGTGAGTGCCATGGCGTCAGCTTAGCTCACAGCAACCTCAAACTCCTGGGCTTAAGCGATCCTCCTGCCTCAGCCTCCCAAGTAGCTGGGACTACAGGCATGTGCCACCATGCCTGGCTCATTTTTTTCTATATATATTAGTTGGCCAATTAATTTCTTTCTATTTATAGTAGAGACGGGGACTCGATCTTGCTCAGGCTGGTTTCGAACTCCTGACCTCGAGCAATCCACCCGCCTCGGCCTTCCAGAGTGCTAGGATTACAGGCATGAGCCACTGCGCCCGGCCTCATCTCTAAATCTTTGTTCTTTTTTTTTTTGTTTGTTTTTATTTTTTCTTTTCTTTTCTCATCTCTAAATCTTGAAGGCTGGTAGAAAGCAGGAACCCCCAGCTCTCTGGGGTTGGGTAGGTGGTGGCAGTACAGACCCGTAGAGGTCTGTCTACAGAGTTACACAGAGCAGGCTTGTGAGGCAGGCTCTGGAGGGGACTGTTACGACAAAACTTTCACTTTACAAGCAGGGATACAGAGGCCTAGATAGAGGGCCTTGTCCAAGGTAAAATCATGGAGGAGGGCAGGGAGAGGCCAGGTCCTAGAGTCAGTCTCAACGCTCTCCCACACATAACACACCAACACAGACGCTGGTCCTGATTTATAATTTAATGGCTGTGCAGGTCCTGGTCCCTCATTTCTGCTGCTCACGGGCCCACTGCTCTGGGGTCAGAGTTTTCTGCTCAAAAGCATGGATGTGCGGGAGCTCGTCCACTAGGCACGTGTTCACCAGCCTAGGGGAAGAGATGGGGTTAGGATTGGGAAGATGGGGCTTGGGTCGCGGCCCTCGAAACTAGGGTGACTCAGGAGACTGCAGGTGTCCCCAAGGTTTGTAGTCCCCAGGACGTGGGAACAGTTGAGGGTAGGGCTTAAATCGACATACTCGAAGCAGGAGCCACGAAGGCGGGGTCCTTAAGGTCACAGGGCCGCATTGTAGGGGGTGAGGGAATTAGGTTGCAGGATAAAGGGGAGTGGCCAGGGTTGTGGTCCCAGAATTCTGACCGCGCTGTGCAGCGTGCTCCCGGGGCCTCACCGGTGTCTCTGAAGCAGCGGCTTCCCCTCAAACTTGGCGGATACCACCAGGACTCGGAAGCTGGACGCGCAACGGTTGGGGGTCGTGTCCTCCACCTCCTACCCGGCAGAATAATATGAATGGTGCCGAGCGCATCCCCCAGCAACACTTTTTCCCCGTTGGGGCGGCTCAACTCACCACGTGCTCCGCCTCCAGGTCCCGCTGCAGCTTCTCCCGAAGGTATTCGGCGCTGAGTTCCATAGCTGCAGTCCAGCTGGGGCGGAAGCCCAGCGGGGATGGAACCCCAGCTCCTAACCGGACCACACCGCCTTCCGCCCTTACAGAAGCCACTTCCGCTGGGGCATCTACTTCCGCCCTTACTAAGGCGCGGGTAAACGAGGTACGCTGCCCTCAAGCAAGCCGAGCTTTCCAACAGTCAAGCGTTTCCGCGCTTGCCATCAGTTAGCCAATGAGAATGTGCGTAAGGACGGACCCTGCCGGAGCCGACGCTCATTGGCTGGCGCTCGTCGCCGTCGTAGCTGCCTGGGTTCTGTGGGCGGCTTTCTGAACCTCCCTGCAGCCGAGAGAGGGGGCACGAGCCCGCATTGCCGTGGCTTCCACGGTTCCTCGGGATCGTCCCCAAGCACTTTTTCCGAAACAAGCATCTTACAGCCCTACCAGCCCAGACCTTCCTGGGGTCCTAGGTCACAGCAGTCAACCCCCGGCGGCGGCCCCTTACCCACAGCCCCGATGGGCCCCGCGGGGGGCGCGGTGAGGCCGGGGCGCTTCTACGGTGTCTACCTGCTCTACTGCCTGAACCCTCAGCACCGGGGCCGCGTCTACGTGGGGTTCACCGTCAACCCTGCTCGACGGGTCCAGCAGCACAATGGGGGCCGCAAAAAAGGCGGGGCCTGGCGGACCAGCGGGCGAGGGCCCTGGTAAGAGGGAGCGGGTCTCTATCAAGAAGGAAGGCTTTGGCCAGGCGCGGTGGCTCACGCCTGTAATCCTAGCACTCTGGGAGGCCGAGGCGGGCGGATCGTCTGGAGTTCGAGACCAGCCTGAGCAAGAGCGAGACCCCGTCTCTACTAAAAATAGAAAGAAACACTTGGACAGCTACAAATATAGAGAGAAAAAATTAGCTGGGCATGGTGGCGCATGCCTGTAGTCCCAGCTACTCGGGAGGCTGAGGCAGAAGGATCGCTTGAACCCAGGAAGGCTTCATGGAGAAGGCGGGCCCTGCGGGGGAGAAGCCTGAGGGCTTCAGGCCAGTGACCGAGGGCAGGGGTGGTGTGGGGTCTGTTGGGGCTGGAAGGGGGAGGTGGGAAGTCTAGTTGACGAGGGCGGGGCCTATCACAGGGGAGGAGCGTGACAGGGAGGCGGTGCCCCGTGACACTCGGGGCGGGGGCCGGGGGCTGGCTAGTGAGGGGTCTGATGGTCCAGGCTGGGGTCCGGCAACGGGGCTTGGCGAGCAAGGCTGGGGTTGGAATAGAAGGGAACGGAACTGAACACAGTCAAGTACCTGGGACTGGAGCGAGGGCTGAGATCGGCAGGTGCGCGGGACGTACCTCCCCGGAGGGGGCGGAGCCTCGCGGCTAAGCTCGAAGCCGGGTATGAGGACTCCGAACCTTGGCCCGGGGATTCAGCATGATGGGGTGGGGGGCTCACAGGCCGTACCCTCGTTCTCCTCTGCCCCCTAACCAGGGAGATGGTGCTCATCGTGCACGGCTTCCCGTCCGCTGTGGCCGCCCTTCGGGTAAGAAAGGAGACCCGGCCGCGGGCAGGCGGGCGGGGGGCTTGGGGCCTGCCCCAGGCCGCCCCCTGCCCGGAGCTGCCCTGACGTTCTTGTACCCCGTCTGCAGTTCGAGTGGGCCTGGCAGCACCCACAAGCCTCCCGCCGCCTGGCGCACGTGGGTCGGCGCCTGCGCGGCGAGGCGGCCTTCGCTTTCCACCTGCGCGTGCTGGCGCACATGCTGCGCGCGCCTCCCTGGGCTCGCCTCCCGCTCACACTGCGCTGGCTGCGCCCTGACTTCCGCCAGGATCTCTGCCTGCCGCCGCCGCCACACATGCCGCTGGCCTTCGGGCCTCCGCCGCCCCGAGGCTCTGTACCGAGGTGCCACACCAGTCCCCGTGCTGACACCGAGCCTGGGATGGACCCGGGCGCCGCTGAGGCCTGCTGCACCCTGTGTGCTCAGTTGCTCCAGGTGAGATCCGCCCACCGTAGGGGCGGGTCGAGGGTCCAGACAACTTCAGATCAAGTTGTTTGTTGAGGGACCACGGACACACTTTGGCCGCCCTGCTCCCATCTCTAAAATGGGAATGATAGTACTTGTGGCCATTCACAAACACATCAGTGCCTCTGCACTTTCCCTCTGCCTGGAAGGGTCTTTCCTAGACCTTCTGTCTTGATGACATGTCACCTTTTCAGTGAGATCTTCCCTGGCTCGCTATTTAAAATTGCACCTTGTGCACTTTTCTGCCCCTCTTTTTTTCCTTAACACTTACTATTGTCTGACATACTATATATTTTATTATCTTATTAGTCTCTCCTCACCCCCATACTAAACTCCACAAGGACAGCTCTGGTTCACCACTGCAGATATTTAACAAATTAACAGATGATGGGGCTGGCTTCTCCTGAGCTCTCAGTGAATGTAAATAGTTGAGTACTTGCCATTCGGAGATGTGAGCTGCCTGCGGTTACTTGGCTTGTAAGGAACTACAGGTGTGGCTGCAGTTGCCAGGTTGTCACATAATCACTGCTAATGCTCAGAGGAAGTCGGACAGCTTAGTTCCTGGGGGCAAGTATTTTACCCTCTCTATACCTCAGTTTCTTCATCTGTAAGATGTAAAAAATAGTAATATGTGCCTCATAGGGTTGTTTTATGTAATGCAGTGGTCCCCAACCTTTTTGGCACCAAGGACCAGTTTCATGGAAGATAGTTTTTCCATGGATAGGGCGTTGGGGGGACGTGGTGCAGAGCTCAGGTGGTGATGAGCAGCCCGTTTCCTAATGGGCCACGGGCCGGTACTGGGCTGCAGCCTGGGTGTTGGGAACCACAGATGTAATGGCCCCAGAACAGTGTTCAGTCCATAGAAAGCTTTATGAAGAAATGCACCATTCCTCCTTGTGTCTTACCTGCCTGCCACCTTTGACAGGATGAAGAGGGTCCCTTGTGTTGCCCCCACCCTGGCTGCCCCCTAAGGGCCCATGTGATCTGCCTGGCAGAGGAGTTCCTTCGGGAAGAACCAGGGCAGCTTTTGCCCTTAGAGGGCCAATGCCCTAGGTGAGTTCACTACCGCTACTCCTGCCTGGTCTAGCTCTGGGAAGGCGGTGCCCTGTTATCCAATCCAGGTCCAGGCAGCTGATTCCTCATCTAGGCACCCAGGGCCTAGCCTGGAGGGGGCTAGTGATGCCTGACTCTGTGTTTTGTCACACAACCCCTTGGTAGCTGTGAGAACTCGGTGCTTTGGGGAGACCTGGTCTGGCTGTGCCGGATGGGCACTGAGGAGGAAGAAGAGTCGGAATCAGAAGAGGTGAGAGATGGCTTTGGGCCCAGCCTCCCTGCCCTCCTCCATCCCTTGGGCTGCCTTGGACCAATCCCCCTTGCCTCCACAGGAACACTGGACAGACATGCTGGAGACTGATCCTCAGTGTCCCTAACCCTCTTCCCTCTTCCCACTCCTTTTCTGTGCCATGCCCCCGCCACGCTCCCATGGGTCTGGCCAGGTTTTACTTGAGTTCAATAAAAAGTCTAAGTTAAGGGTACCTTCTGGTGTTCGTTGTTGGGGGGTGGGCAGGGTGAAGAAAGTAGGCAGGGGCTCTGCTGGTCACTGGGGCTTGGGTAAGAGGAACAGAGGAAGGAGGAGGGGCTGCCACTGGCCCAAGAATGTGACCAGCCCCTCCTCTGCCTGGAGCCCACTGCCTCAGCTTTCCCAGCTGGCCTCTGAGGTCACATAGGTCTTTTTTTTTTTTTTCTATATATATTAGTTGGCCAATTAATTTCTTTCTATTTATAGTAGAGATGGGGTCTTGCTCTTGCTCAGGCTGTTTTCCAACTCTGACCTTGAGCAATCCACCTGCCTCCACCTCCCAGAGAGTTAGGATTACAGGCGTGAGCCACCGAGCCCAGCCCAAGTTTTTGAAGGCTTGGGAGATGCACTCCCTTACTCAGACTGTTACCTGCCTCTAGCGCCTGGCTTGACTTTGGACTTCAATCCACATTGTGAGGACAAAGGCTGAGGAGGAAGGTGGGGTGCTCTCCTTCATTGAGGCCCCGTGGCTTCTAAGCTCCAGCCTCTTCTTATCTCTGTCTGTGGAGCTGCCTTCAAACCCAGGGGAAGAAAAGTACCTCCTGGGGGCTGTCATTCTTCCACCAGCCACTAGTGATGTTCTGTGAGGTCCTCCAGTGGGAAGCTGGGCTCCCAGAACCTTCCTTGGTCTGCTCCACCCCCAGCTGCTTCACCCTGCCCACCCAGGTCACTCTGTACTTTCCTGAGGTCAGAGCCTGGAATGCCTGGGCCGCTGCGGCCTAGAGGCTGCCCTGGGCCAGAACTCTTGGCACCTTCAAGATTGGCCTAGAGTGAGTGGGCAGGACAGTGGCCCTGCCCCATGGATGCCTAGTGCATATCCATCTTTCCCCTTCACCCCTCTCCCCTCCTTCACAGAGTCAATAAGAAAAAGCCACCTGACCTTGCAGGGGCAGTTCATGGGGCAGGTCAGGAGCTGATTACAGCTCAAAAAACAAACCAAACCACTATCAGGCCCTTTCTCCTTTCAGCCTTTCTTTTGTTTTCTACGCTAGATTCATATCTTGAAGTTTTACGTGAATCTAAGTGTGGCTCCAGCTGGAGTGCTAAGGAGGGCAATATAGAGGCTCCCTCACCCCAACTCCGCCCTTTCCTTCTGGGAGGACTGCCAAGTCCCTGCGCTGGCTCCAGAGCCCTCCCACTTTAGAATTACAAAATCTTCAGCTCAGAGAGCAGCTCTGTGCTGACCACACTGCCTGCACACTGGGCCACAGCACGCCGCCGAGGTGGGCACAGGCCAGGTTCCTGAGAGGTCAGGTGAGTGCCAGAGTGGCAGTGGGCTGGGCCAGATCCCCCTCACCCTGCTCAGCTCCTGTGGCTGGTTCCTCTGCTCCGGCCTCTCCCACCCCTGCTTGTTCCCCATGGATATCCCCATTTCAGCGCAGCTCTGGCCCGGCCTGCATCCCCCTCCCTTCCTCCTGCCGAGTCATAAGAGTTTTGTTCATTCACATACCAGACTCTGGCCCCCAAAACAAGCTCAAACAAGCTCAGTTGCTCAATTGGCCATGTTTGTCCCCAAGCCAAGATAGAGTGTGGCCGGGCAAGTGGAGTAACAGGCTTAGTCAGCCTGGGGGGTTTCCACATGTGAGGGCCCCGCGGAGCTCAAGGGGGGAACGGGTGTAGGGTGGGGGGCACAGAGGCACCCACTGGATGGAGGCTGGCTCTGCAGCAGGAAGTAGTGAGAGACAATAAAGCTGGCAGGCAGGGAGTTAGGACGGGCAGGCCCTAGAATTTTCTCAAGTTCAGGCTGGAATTTCCTGGAGAGCTTCAAAAACCCTGGTATCTGGGTTCCACCCCAGAGAGTGCTTTAATCCTGCAGTCCCTAACCCTTGGGCTCACGGTCTGTGGCCTGTTAGGAAAACAGTTCTGCCTTCATCCTGCACCCCCCACCCCCATCCACAAAAAAATTGTCTTCCATGCAACTGGTCCCTGGTGCCAAAAAGTTTGGGGACCCCTGCTTTCATTGGTCTGGGATGAAGCCTGGGCATTGGGACTGTGGATGCTCTGCAGGTACATCAGAGGTGCCGCCAGAATGGGGAAGCACTGCACTAGAGTTTTGAGTCCCCCGCTCCACCACCCACTAGATTTGTGAGCTTGGGCAAGTTGCTCAGCATCCCCAAACCTCAGTGTCCTCACCTTAAAGCAAGACTTGAGCAAATGGTATTGTTGTGATGGCATTAAGGGGTCTGGCCTCTGACACAGCAGCATGGAGCAAATCCAAATCCGCCAGCCAGAGGAGTATGTGAAGGGGATCCCACTCATCAAGTTCTTTGCAGAAGCAATTGGGCCGCTGGAGAGCTTCCAGCCCCTGCCTGATGACCTGCTGATTAGCACCTACCCCAAGTCCGGTAGGTGAAGAGGGCCACCCACCCTCTCCTGAGCTGCAGTCCCCACCCTGGCCTGCAGGGGCACGCCCTCAGCCCTGCTCACCTCCTGTTCTCATTTCCCTTCCTCTCTAGGGACCACTTGGGTGAGCCAGATACTGGACATGATCTACCAGGGTGGCGACCTAGAGAAGTGTCACCGGGCCCCCATCTTCATCCGTGTGCCCTTCCTTGAGTTCAAAGCCCCAGGGATTCCCTCAGGTGTGTGGTGGGGTGTGGGGGCAAGTGGAGTGCAGGGAGGGAGGCCCAGGCTCCAGCTCACCAAACCTTTCCTTACCTATGGCTTAGGTTTGGAGACTCTGAAAGAAACACCAGCCCCACGGCTCATCAAGACACACTTGCCACTCACCCTGCTCCCCCAGTCTCTGCTGGATAAGAAGATCAAAGTAAGTGGCAGGGGAAGCTGGATGTCCTGGGGACATCCAGCTCTAGTCCTGTTCTTCTGGGAAGGTCTCCTCACTTCCTTGAGCCTTTTCTCATCTTGAGGGGGAGACTCTCTGCCTCTTGATCTTGTGGGGGTCAGACAACCAGGAAAGTGAGGCTGTTCAATGCAGGACCGAGAAAGGTAGAGCCCAGGTGATCACAGGCTCTCGGGAGAGGGGGCTGGTGGGAACCCAGCATGTCTTGCTCCAAATCTGGGTGTGAGGGCATCAACAGAGATTAGATTAATGCAAAATATGGCTCCAGGGACTAGCTAGGACTTTGGCATCAAAGCAGGGTTCAAATCCCTGCCCAGTAATACCTATACTGAGAGATCTCAAGTTAGCCTCTAAGCCTCAGTTTCTTCCTTTGCCAGACAGAGATAACCTCCCTCCCAGGGATGCTGTCCAGCATGACAGGAGGGCAGGCAGGATGGGGGGGCCCAAGACTGGTGTGGGGCATGCTGGGGGTTGAGGTGATCTGCCCCTGCAGGTGATCTACGTTGCCCGCAATGCGAAAGATGTGGCTGTCTCCTATTACCACTTCTACTGCATGGCCAAGGTGCACCCTGATCCTGGTACCTGGGACAGCTTCCTGGAGAAGTTCATGGCTGGGAAAGGTGGGCCCTACTCGAGGAAGGAGGGGGGTGGAGCTGAGGAGCAGCAGCGAAAGCTAACTCCAACCCCCACGTTGGTGCCCTGCCCCTTCCCCAGTGTGCTATGGGTCCTGGTACCAGCACGTGCAGGAGTGGTGGAAGCTGAGTCACACCCACCCTGTCCTCTACCTCTTCTACGAAGACATTAAGGAGGTGAGACCACCTGTTCTTGCTTCCCTCCAGGTCATACCTGGGGGGCAGGATCCTCACAGAGGCCTGCCAAAGCCCCCTTGGGCTTCCTCCCTATGGCAGTGCCCAACCGATCTTGGATTTCCATTCTGGCTTCCCTCAGCTGCAGTGCCAGGCACTCTGTACAGCTCTTATCTCTAGTGCCTGAGTCAGCCTCATGTGCAGTCACTGATCAGCAGTTCACTGCCCTCTACTCTCCCTGCCAAAGGGTTTGCCCAGGGTCACAGGGCAGGTGAGGGGATGAGTGAGACAAGGAGCTGGCCCTGAGGTTTCTAGTGGAAGTGGCCTGGTACCTTCTGAGGTTAGAGAGGGGGATCCCCCTTTTGTTTGCTCCATGAGCAATCCAAACCCTCTGCTGCTCTAGAACCCCAAAAGGGAGGTTCAGAAGATCCTGGAGTTTGTGGGGCGCTCCCTGCCAGAGGAGATCGTGGACCGCATCGTCCAGCACACATCTTTTGAGGAGATGAAGAAGAACCCCATGACTAACTATACCACCATCCCCCATGACATCATGGACCATGACATTTCCCCCTTCATGAGGAAAGGTGGGTGCCCAGCTGGGATGGGTGTTGAAGGAGGGTGGGAGCAGCAGCCAGAGCACACCCTGAGCCATGGGACCCCCTCTGCAGTGGGACTTCACCCCTGTCCTTCCCTCACAAGGCAAGGTCGGGGACTGGAAAACCACCTTCACTGTGGCCCAGAATGAGTGCTTTGATGCCGACTATGCCAAGAAGATGGCTGGCTGGGACCTCGGCCTCTGCTCGCGGCTGGGAGTGGTGTCCAGCGGGAATCACTCCAGAGGGAGCGTGTGAAACAAGCTTGGCCCATGGCCTCAAGAATAAAATATGATTTGGGTTCAATGCAAGCCTCTATTGGAAGCTAAGACGAAACCTGTGCTGAAAGAGTAAATGCCCACTGGGACCAACTAAGGCCAGCTGCTCCCGCAGCCTCTGGCTCCCTGACTTGCCCTGCTTGGGAAGGGGAAGAGTGTTTGGAGAATTAAAACCCAGGAGACACGGGTGAGGGGGAAGAGTATTTATTTGATCACAGAACACCCTTGTTGATTTCCCCCCAGGAGGGTGGTGAGACTCTGCCAGCCAGCTTCACTTTTTCTTAGGTTCCTTACAAGCCACCACGTACCTCTGGGCCACATTGAGGGGAGGGGAGTAACCATCTGCATAGGAGGTGTCTTCAAACAGGACTGAGTAGTCATCCTGGGGCTGCGGCGGAGGCAGACAGGACAGGCTCGTCAGAGGCCCCTGGCCAGGCCAGCCCTGCCTGCCATTTTTCACTCACAGTCAGGATGTCTTATTCCCACTGTCCCTGCTCTTTTCCCAGCAACAAGGGCAGGGGCTAAAGAGCAGGAAGGAAGGAGACTTGCTCCCTGCAGGGCCTGGTGCCATTCGGGCACCTGTGTTAAGAGGATCAAGGACAGCCCAGAGGGCAGCAGGCAGGGATCCTGCCCTTAAGTAATGTGTGCCCAAGAGTCAGACTTGGGCACAAGCTTCCCATCTCAGGGCTCATATCCTCCACTGACTGCAGAGGTGAGGTGAGGCTGGAGAAACAACAGGCAGCTCAGTTGGGGGTTGCTAAGGCTCCTGGGGCTGGCAAGGGGACTGCAGAGCGGACTCTGGGAAACAGAAGAGGGAGGGCAGGTCCCTTTAGCTGAGGTGTGAGGTGAGGAGAAAGGGGAAAGACACAGGAGGATGACCCCTGACCTCGGTCAGCCTGGTCCTGGTGTCATGACGGCCTGTGCCACTGAGCCTGCCTTACCCACTGAGCCTGCCTTACCCGTTGGGGGGGCGCGTGGATCAGCGCACGGTAGAAGCAAGTCGTCTGGGGATACAGGGCCAGCACAAGCTGCTCCTTCTGGAATAAGGCCTCTGGGTCTGTTTCAGGGTTGGCCTTCCACTGGGGCAGTGGGATGATCCGCCGCCGGCTCAGGGTGTGTCTCCTGGGGGTGAAGGGGGCTCATGTCAACCCACAGCCAGGTGGGGAGACTCCTTCCCAGCAGTGTGGCTGCCCCTCAGTCCCCCACTGCCCCTCCCTGGCCCAGACACTCACTCTTTGCCTTCTTCATCAATGTCATCTACCTCATACCTGTGGACAAGGAAGAGGCCCGATGGGTGAGGTGCGCAGTCCACGTGGGAGTGAGAAGGGGAAGGAGCCCGTGCTTCCTTCATACCCATCCCCACCCACAGTACCCTCTGGGGAGCTTTTCTCCCATTTTGCAGATAGGCAAAAAAGCAGCTAAAGCAGGTATGGTAACAAGAAAGCAGCCCGGGGGCCAAGCGTCCACTCACTTGTTGGTAGCATGGCTGTAACTGACCACCTCAGCCAGGATCCACTGCTCGTCCCCATCCACAGCCTTTACCCGGGCAGCCACCTTATCTCCAGGTTTGGCCACATAGTCCCCTGAGGCTGGAATGGCCCCACAGAGGGGTGGGGGCCTGTGAGTGGAACAGAGCGTCAGTCCCAGGCCCTGCCGCCAGCCCCTCCCCTGCAGCTCCCGCCCTCACTTGTCACCAGGCTTCCCGATCCACAGGGGCAGGGTCATGGCTGACTGCTGCAGCAGGGTCATCAGCACGCCCCTGCGCATGGTCTTCCGGGGGGGCTCCGAGTCATTGTACAGGCCTGCGATCTTGGCCGCTGTAGGAAGGAAGGGAGCCCCTGAGGCGCCAGGGACAGGTGCCTGCCCCACACCCACCCTAGTGCCTAGCTGTCACACACATGTGGACTCAACCTCCTCAGGCCTGGCTGCATATACCCGCCTGACTTCAAACACATCCCGATGAGTGAGGGGTCTGTCCACCATGGGTTTGTAGGAAAGGCAAGAGAGAGGTGGGAAAGCCAAGGAAACGGCAGTCAGAAAGGGCTGGAAAGCTGGGTTTGAGACACGCAGGGTGTGGTTAGGCAAGAAATGGGACTGGGCTGTGGCAGGAAGGAGGAGGCGACTGGCCCAGGCCATAGAGGGGGAGGGAGATGTGAGGGCAAGGGCGGAACCACCTGGAACATCCTGCCTCCCAGTGTTGGGCGTGCTCTGCATTCCCTTCCCCGTGCCAGGTCCACACTGCCAGACGCCCGGTGGAACTCACCGATCCGCCTCTCTTCCAGCAGAGACTTGATTTCAGCGATCTTATCTAGGGCCTTCCGAAGGATGCTGAGGGTGGGAGGAGGGAGAGAGAGGTCTGGTGGAAGTACACAGCACAGACTTCCTTTTCTAGTTACAGCAGGCTGGATGATTCAGACCAACCTTACTGCTGAAAATTAGAAACCCTCGGTAAGATTTTTAGTCTTAAAAGCATAAAAGATGAGACAGTAGGAAGTGGCAGGCCAACAGCTCTGAAGAGAAAGCAGGATCCCAGAGAGATGAGCAAATGGACTGAGTGGCCTTTGACAAATCCTGAAGAAGTATAGCTCAGTTCTGGCAGCTTTTCATTCTTGAGGACAAAGGGTCAAACTCAGGGTCTGCCCAAGATGGGACATGTAAAAGGAGAAACCCCCAGAGGTGGGGAGAGCTGCTGGTTCAGAGCAGGGCTGGGGTGGAGGGAGCTCATCCCTGAAAGGCTGTACCCAGACAAACCCCAGCATGGACTTGCAGTCCCAGGAAACTATGAAGTCAGTGTTTGGGGGGGTCCAGGGTAGCAGAGAAACAAGTAACCTGGCAGAAGCAAACAGAGCTTTGCTGGAGGCAGGCTTCTTTATCCTAGATCTTGGGAAATCTCCCCAAAGAATATTTCTTTTTCTTTTTTTTTTAAATTATAAAGAGATTTATTCTGAGCCAAATTTGAGGACCATGACCTGGAGCCACTGCCAAGAGGCCTTGGGCAAGTGGACTCCTTGTGGCTGGGTTAAAGTTTGGTTTTTTATATATTTCAGACAGAGGTTACAGGTAAAGCCATCTATCAGTACGTGGGAGGTATACATTGATTTGGCCGCAAAAGGTGGCCCCAAAGAATATTTCAACAGGAGTAAGCAGTGCAGACTCCATTTTGGGTCATTTTTTACTCCGCTGCTCCCATGGCAAATCCTAGTCCATTCCTTTAGCAAACTTTTATTAAGTGCCTCCATGGTATTAAAGATCTTTGTCCAACAGAAGGAAGTACCTATGAACAGAGCACATGACCCATGGAGTTCACGAGGCAGAGGTCAGAAGACAGGGATTGGCCAGGGGCAGCCAAACCAAAGCAGGGGGCAGTGAACAGCTTGCGGCTATGCATGGTGCGTCACAGTTCATGAACTTTGACATAATTTTATATAAGTGTTCAGGGCATGGTGCAGGGGAGGGCTCTCAGCCAGAGCCACCGCAGGCTTATGAGCACTGGGACCTAGGCAAGCAGACATCCCAGAAAACAAGGAATAAAAGCCCAGAGGCCAATGGGAACTTTGAAGTTTGATCACTGTTGTCGGGCCTATTTGGAGGACATAGTTTTATGAAGCATATCCTAACTTGCAGTCTGTGATATTTGTTTGTTTCTTTATTATTTATTTATGTGTTAGAGACAGGGTCTCACTCTGTCATCCAGATTGGAGTGCAGTGGTGGTGTTATAGCTCACTGCAGTCTCAAACTCCTAGGCTCCAGTGATCCTCCTGCCTCAGCCTCTGCAGTAGCTGGGACTACAGGCATGTGCCACCATGCCCAGCTAAATTTTTAAATTTTTTTTATTTATTTATTTATTTTATTTATTTTTTTTTTTTGAGACAGAGTCTCACTTTCTTGCCTAGGCTAGAGTGAGTGCCGTGGCGTCAGCCTAGCTCACAGCAACCTCAAACTCCTGGGCTCAAGCGATCCTCCTGCCTCAGCCTCCCGAGTAGATGGGACTACAGGCACGAGCCACCATGCCCGGCTGATTTATATTAGTTGGCCAATTAATTTCTTTCTATTTTTATGGTAGAGACGGGGTCTCGCTCAGGCTGGTTTTGAACTCCTGACCTTGAGCAATCCACCCGCCTCAGCCTCCCAGAGTGCTAGGATTACAGGCATGAGCCACCGCGCCCGGCTTAAATTTTTTTTAGAGATAGGGTCTTGCTGTGTTGCACAGGCTGGACAACAGTGGTGCAATCATAGCTCACTGCAGCCTCGAACTCCTGGGCTCAAGAGATCCTCCCACCTCAGCCTCCTGAATAGCTGGGACTACATGTACAAGCCACAATGCCCAGCCTCCTGTGATATATTAATGGAGTCATTTTCAACCCTAACTGGACATCAGAATTTCCTGGGGAACTTTGAATTTAACAGTGAGGAAATGACAGACAACCCACGCTGAGGGACATTCTACAAAATAACTGACCTGCAATCTTCAAAATGTCAAGGTCATGAAAGGCCAAGACAGGGAGGACACTCTTCCAGACTGAAGGAGACTGAGGAGACAGGATACTCAATGCAATGGTAGCTGCACTGCAAAAATGGCTTTTTCCTTTTGTTATAAAGGCCATTAGCAGATATTAATCTCTAGAAGAGGAATGTAATGTTCCATTTCTTAAAGTTACTGCAGTTTTGCTGAGATTCAAGGAAACAAATGTTTGTAAGGTCATTCAAAAAGCAGCTGTGGCCAAGCATGGTGGCTCACACATGTAATCCCAGCACTTTGGGATGCTAAGGCAGGAAGAGTGCTTGAGGCCAGGAGTTCAAGACCAGCCTGGGCAATACAGCAAGACCCCATCTCTACAAAAAAATTTAAAAATTAGCCAGGCACGGTGGTATGAGCCTGTACTCCGAGCTACTCAGGAGGTTGTAGCAGAAGGATCACTGAGGCCAGGAGTTTGAGATTTTAGTGAGCTATGATCAGGCTACTGCAATCCAGCCGGGCGACAGTGAAACCCTGTCTCTATTTAAAAAAATAAAAATAAAAAGCAGTT